GAAGAATGAATAGAATGTACTGTGGACACAGACACTTAGAAACAATGGTGGTTCCTGTGTAAATGGTGCTCTGGACAAAACCCTCCTTCTGGCGCCTTCTACCCAACTGAGCCTATTCTCCAAAAAACATAAGGCTCACACACAGACAGATGTATTTGTTTCTGCAGACACCTTTGTCCTATAATTTGCAGGACCTTATTGTACTTATAGATATCTGTGATATAGAAATGGACTCCTAACTTTGCCTGATTTGCCAAAGATTAGTTTTATGTTACTATAAAAATGTGATTGTTTAGACATTAAATTATTAATTTATTGTTTCCGCTTCGACTGCTTTTTGCACATATTGCTCTTTAGCATGGGCCATTTGTGTCCAGGATGTGTGGGGTCTTCAGAGATGTTGGCTGCCCCTCTTGCTGACAATGAACTTGTACAAGTCCTGGATGGAGGAAAGGCCAGCCCAGTTGATAGTCTGTGCAGACCTATTTGTTTGTTGCATTCTGAACCTGTTCTGTTTTGAGGATGAGTCAATCCACACAGTGATGAACGACCACATCACAGACTGAATGGTGCAGAATAAAGCGCCTGTGGAAGGTTTTACTTCTTGAGTTGCTGCTGGGCCTTCTTACAAGCAATTATCTACGTGTGCGAAGCATCGCTAGGAACTGGAAGTGATTGTCAGTAGATGGTGTCGTCGAGAATGGAGAGGGAGTGTTGTGGTTGTTCTCCAGAAGTCAAATGGCGTCTACACCGTCTTGAGAGGTTTAGGATGCACATGGTTTTGACCGCACCAGTGGGCCAGTTGATCCATCTGATCATTGCATGCATAGTTTTATCAATACCCTAATAAGAAAAACCTGTGTTCATGTCAGACTTTTAATATTTCAGTAATCGTGCTTCATTTTTACTCCAATAACCCTTTTAACCCAAATTGGTCTACCGCTACAAGTAGTTTGAAAATTTTACACTGCTTGCTTATATTTTTTTACACATCCAAGTAAAAATAAAATTAGTAGATGTGAGCTGATAAAGAGTTTTCTTTGTTTTCCAAATGGTTCAGTCAATCCTCTCTAAGCCATATGGCCAAAATCTCAGTTGCAGTTATTTGTTAAATTGTTCTATTATTTTTTGGGGCTTGAGTCGTGTCAGTTGAAAGTTTGTTTGTGTTTTTTGCAACCATTAAAACACTGTTCAAAACAGAATTCAAAAAACAAATCTTATGAATTTTTCATCAACCTGATGTGCTTAATGACTGCAGGGGGCCATTTTTATAGTTCTTGTTACCAATAGAGTTGGTTTCTGTTCTTTGTATGTGACTTATGGTTGTTCTCCTTCAAACACCACCCGCTGGTGGACTACTGCATCCCGCCGGCTGTGGGCTGAATGCAACCAGAAAAAAAGGACATGAACATATGTTTTCCTTTGAGGACCTCCGAAGTCTCCACAGCTGTCGGATGTCTTTCAGAAATGATCATTTTAAGTGCTTCTGTTAATAGAAGCCACACAGATTTGAAGAGGTTCCTCAAGGCAGAAGACACAACAGAAAACATAATTGCTACAACATGTGTCGATCCAGCCGACATCTTGATAAATGGAGGAAGATGATATTCATGAGACCGAGACCTTATTCAAACTTCTCATCTGGTGGGTTTCAGCTGCCAAAAGGCTAAAACTTGTGCCCTTCACACTGAAAAAGATTTTAAGGAAAAGGGGTTTATTGCTCAATATATAAAGAGAGGAGTACTAGACTGACCAAGCGATCTTCATCTCCTTTCAGTTCAAATAAAATTCATCCCACTGAGCAAACGTCACATGATTGCCTTTGGGATTAAAGTCAATAAGGCTAGTTTAGAATCCTGAAGACAATTTCAAAGTTAATTTAAGACAACATGCAAAAAAATTACATAAAAACGGCAGAATATTTCTCCAAAGTCCTCTCCTTTTTAAAACCAATTTCAACAGTTTTGTGGCGCTGCTAGCAAATACCAACTGTACTGTATCAAAAATATGTATACGTTTGGAGTAAAATCCAGCCTCATCCTATTTCTGACTGCCTTAATGCATCATAAAGGCATGTAAAAATCTGACACAAAACAATAGACCTCTTTGTTTGATTTGTCTGTTTTAAAACATGATGATATATTTTACAAAGAGTTTATCCTTATTTGTGTTTGGGTGAAGTGTTTTTCAGAGAAAAAAAAAAAAACATTGTTTATTGGCCAAAGGCACATGATTTTATGCCTGCCCTGGGAGGCTTTTATTGTGAAGCAACTCATCTGCAAGAAGTGTCAAGCTTCATTAGTGTGACTGTGAATTTTATCACAAACTACTAGAAACAGACTGAAACTGTCTAAAGTACTGAAAATCACAGAGTGCATTTCAAACTTCCTCTCACGGTGGATTCTGCCTTTAACCTCTGGTGCTTCCAGATGGATAGACTAAAACAAATAAGATCTGTAAATGCACAAATTTACCTCTAACCATGTTTGTCTCTAAAAGGTTTTAAATATTTTCTAACTATTGGATTAAATTAATTAATCAGACTAATTCCCAACATTAGCTGCTGGTGTTTGCAACATGATAAAAAAATTGTACCGTAAATGCATACAGAGATTCATTGGACACAATAAATTACTGGAAAGACATCCAACCTGCCTTACATCCATCCATTCATTCCTTTAAGTTGTCGACCTGTCTCTTCATCCCTCTGGCCAACAGACTATTAGATTTATCTAGTTGTTTTAAGATTGACCCCAACAGAAAAGCCTTCAGTTCTCTTACATTAAGCTTTTCCTTAAGAAATTGGACAACAATGAAGATTGAACTCCTCTAATCTGAGTCTGGAAAACTACAGAATGATTTAGTGGAGCACTGCAATAACATTACTTATTGATTTACCCAAAACACCAAGCATTCCTCTGACAGAAGGTCTGCTGTTTCTGCTTGAATGATGGCTCGAGTTTGAGTGTGACGCACGGGGCAAAGAGGTGTGGACTTTTGCTAAAGGCCGTGGTGGTAGTCTGATATTGGTGGATTTTATCTGAGTGTAAACAGAAATCTTTCCAAGTAGTGAGAGAATTTACAGGACAGATGGAAGGACAGAGGACTAAATTCAAACTCTATTGATTTCTCTCTCCAGGTTGAGAAAGAGCAGGAGCTTCTGTCTCTGGTCAATGGGAAAAAAAAAGCTCTTTGTTGTGCATTTACATTTTTGCTTTCGGCACAAGGACAACACAAAGATTCTTTTATTTTTCTTTCTACAATTCTTGTCATTTGTCAGGAATGCAATCATTCATCACACTGAAGCGAAATTGTCAGACTGTGGTTGTGTCTGTGTCACCTTGACAAAAAACAGTTTCAGGTTGTGCCTGGAGATAAAGCATCTAAATACAACTTAAGTTTTTAAAGACTTTGGAATTAGAATGTGTCTGGGAAGCTCTTAATGTCTCCTTCAAAGTGTTTTGAAGCAAGATTTGCACTTTAGAGAAAATCCTTTCAGTGACTAATCTGCTTAAGACAGTGAAAAAGATAAAGAGGGTCCTGTGGAACTAAATTCAGTGGACCAAAGCAGTAACGCTTGTCACTTCTTATGGCTCTCTGCTGCAGACAGCACTCATCTGTAGGGTCAGCAGCTGGGAAACGTTTAGCAAGCACAGCCCCAACTGGCCACCGTTCACTTGCAGATGCTGCTGAGAAAACCTAAAATTCACACCTCGTAAAGAGAGGAAGCAGATGTTTGCATTTCAATAGAGACAGAGCGGGGAGGGTGTTGCAGCTGCTCCATTACAGAGTACAGTATACGGCACAGGTGGATGTGCTCTCGTTTCATCTCTGGGGCATTTTGATCTAGATGCCTTAACATGCCAGGTGCTTCAAAATCCACACTGCAGTCGGTTCACATCTGTGTTCAAGATTGCAGTATTTTTTTTTTCACTGAGATTTAGAATAACCGGTTTTTGTTTTCAAGTGACTACAGGGTTGGTGTAGCCGTTTGTTATGGCAATGATCCTTTGCAACACCTTTGTCAATGTCAGCATTTTTTACATAGCAGAGATTATTAAGATCCTTAAAAGTTGAAAGTAACATTTTTAAAATGAATCTCATAACAAACAAGAAGCCAGTGAAGCTAATTTATGATTAGTACTTTGGGGTTGGCGTAACTGACTTCAGTTTGTTGCTCTGTCTGTAACCCTTTCTAGATTGATAAATGTAACTTACTTTGTTTCCCGTGATTTTCTTGAAACTCTTTAGGCATGGCATGCTGCTTTTTGAGATCTTTTTAGCATATTTCATGTAGTCAGGTTCTATTTAAGTGATGTCTTGAGATTGCAGTCATAAAAGAGGTTGCTCATAGTTGTTATTAGTGTTCATTATCTGCCATATTCGTTTTGAGAGTCAGTGCAGGCTGATAGCCTTCAGAGTCACAATCCATGGAAATTGGGTGTAATACAAATGTATCAATGAATTATTTTATATACACTGCTCAAAAAAATAAAGGGAACACTCAAATAACACATCCTAGATCTGAATGAATGAAATATTCTCATTGAATACTTTGTTCTGTACAAAGTTGAATGTGCTGACAACAAAATCACACAAAAATCATCAATGGAAATCAAATTTATTAACCAATGGAGGCCTGGATTTGGAGCCACACACAAAATTAAAGTGAAATGTTCCCTTTATTTTTTTGAGCAGTATATTATGATTATATATCCCTGCAATTTGTTTAGTTTATCTGACCTTCTTTAACCAGGAAAACACACATTAAGATTACAAGTCTGTTTTACAAGAATGTTCTGACAAAGAAATCACCAAAAAAATAAAAAATAAAAAATATTACAGGCAGACATATGAGCACACCACATATTAGTCATTTAGACTGACTAATATATGAAATTCATTGAAAAAGTCAGCAGAGATTTGTCTAACTCCAACTCAGTGTTTTCTACGTTGGCTCCATTGAGATCATTTCATGACGCATTTTTTTTCTTCATCAGTTTGTTCCAGTCAAAGATGGCAGCTTATGAAGGCTTTTTTTCCCACATCCGAGTTCATACCCTTGGAACTGAGGACAGAATATGTCTTTAAACGACGCCTGGAAGGCCCTGGACTCTTTAGAAGGAGATAGTTTGAGAGGTAAGACTGAAATTCACAACAAGAATATACCGGTGTCTTAGTTTGTGTATCGATACGGAGGACCAGCCAACATGTTTATATAACATAGACTAATCAGAGGAATCTAAAACTAGATCTCTGTCTACTGTTGGGCATTCAACACATCACCATAGTCCCACACAGATGGGATGTTTTTTTATTCAAATGAAAGGCATTATTTGATCCTGAAATAAAGGTTTAATCTAAAAAAAATAATCAACTGCCACAAGAAATTGATGGTTATGCAGTGGTAAATTCATGGTACTAAAGGAAAGCAAAATGCTTCCACAAAAATCTAACTTCAGAAGTATACTTGTGAATATTCACTCTGAATTTTCTGTAGGATTTTAAACGGGCCAAGCAGTTTATATAGATCAGATGAGAATTGGCTCCTCGTGACTAGCTACTCTATTGTCTAATTGGCTTTCAGAAAGCACAAAGGCCAGCTGTCAGATGTGAATGTCGCATTTCATAAACTACCCATGAAGCCCAGTCTGCCTTAAATGTAAACCCAGAAATATGGGGCAAAGTGTTGTTTCTCAATTCATCTCTCTCCACTGACAGGAATCTATTGATTTACCCGTCAGCTGCTTCACAGCCGCTCCAACAACTAGGACAGTCATTTACTGCAGATTGAAGTGGATAGCTAAAACTTCTGACATGCATACGCACTTTAATGTTGTCCAATTACACTTTCCAAAAATAAAAAATAAAAAATCTCCCTGAATGGTCACAGAGATTTCCAATGACGGGGCATAGAGGTAATTTGAGCTGCAATCAGCATCCACAAAGAGCTGCAGTTGGGAACAAAATCAGTGCAAATCAGACCAAGTTAGACGTCCACATGCTTCTGCCCTGAATGCAAATTGCCACATATGAAGACATGGAAGGAAACTGGAAGCTAAATTAGGCATTGCTGGGAGGTAGATTTTGTTCAGGCCGCCTGTTCTTAGTGAAGGGGTTTGTATCCGTGCTGAGTATACACTCGCTAACAAACACACAGAGGGACAAACATGGACCCAGAACAATGGAGCCACTCATCCCAATGAGCTGAAAGCCTTTGAAAAGTCTAGTGTTACGGATTAATAGCCATGAAACTTCATTGATTGTCTGTTGTTAAGCCCAACAATCAAACTGACGGGATATTGGTGTTTGCTGTTTGAAATTTTCCAGTACATTAATTTTAATGGGTTTACTTTGAATAAAGGCATTACCATTTCTGAACAGTGTCGGTAAAGCCTCAAACCGGTTGTGCAAAATCATTTTGCAACACTACAACAATACGCTGCATTCATTTTTATAAGGATTTTATGTGATACAGCAAAAGAAAGTAATGCATATTTAGAAAGTGGATGAAAAACTATAACTTGCTTTTAAATTTTTTAAAAACATCTACCTCTGGGTTTGTGTTCCTCAACTGCAGAAAGTATTGAAGGAGCCACAAAAATCTTCATTTTTCATTTTCCCTTCTTCAGATTAGCCTGATGTTATGAGGAATTGTCGGTTTCATTCCTTGATTGTTTTTAATTTATAATTTGCTCATTTGTTGTTCATTTCTCCTTATGCCCATTTGACCTTATGTTTCCAGAAAATCTAGCAGGTTGATGTGCAACTTGCACATTATAATATCTATAGTCTTCAGAAAACTAAGTTCACAAGTTAATTTCATGCTTATAAGACTATCTGTCTGTCAGATGAGGAACCGTCGTTTCCAGGTGCAGGGCTGTGAAAACACTCACCTTTTCCTCATGCTCAAGGCAGAGACTGTATTTAAGCAAGATCATCAAGGCTTGAGGTCAGAATCCCTGGTGAGGTGTTGTCATCAAGTCCAGCCAAAGGGGAGGCCCAGAGAAAGGCCCAGGACAAGCTGGAGGGACGATGTTTCTCGGTTGGCCTGGTAACGCCTTGGGGTTTCCCTGAAGGAACTGTCCCAGTTGGCTCTGGAGAGGGAAGTCTGGGCTTCTCTGCTGCGGCCTTCGGGACCCAACCGTAGATTAAGCAGAAGAAATATGAATGTTTACACTTATTTATTCATCTTCTTTTTCATCACTCCTTTTTCTATTTTAGTTTATTTAGAAACAGCAACGCAACATGAAGCAATAACTCCCTGTATAGTAGACTTGGCCAAATATATATATACACACACTGTCATTATTGTTTGCTCTGCAATAGTGGCGGGTGTAGGGATGCTTTTCTGAGAGAAGCTGGTGGTCAGACTGGGAGCATGGATGGAGTTTATACATGGGAATCTCGAAAGAAAGGAACCCAGAGCTCAATTCAAAATATTTGCAAGGAATTTTGCAATATTTGCGCTTATTTACAATGTGAAGTATGGCTTTTTGTTACTCGCCTTATAGATCGATCATAGACTATAACTTGCTGAGGTAGTAGTATAGAAGTAAGAAATACTGCCACCTATTAGTGAAAGTTAGCATCACTGAAACCTAATGGGTTTGACTATTTTTGCAGAAAATTTGCATCCCTTGCATTAGTCTGAAAAAATGCAGGGATCGGTTGATTTTGCATGAATATATATCATGGAATCGTGAAGAATTGGACGGACTAATTAATGTAATTCAAAAAAGCTATGGCTGGCCAAATTTGGCCCCAGGGCCTTGAATTTGACATATGTGGGTTAGATCAAATATTAATATTTTCTGATGGCCTAGTCCATCCAACTGATTTTAACTTTAGATTCAGCCAATATTAGGTTGAGCTGCTGTACAAAGAAGAATGGTCATTATTCTTTGACGTATGCAAGACCTAGAGTAGAGAAAGAGAATAAAACACTTGCTGCTGTGATGTCGCCAAAGGGTGGTTCTGAAAAGCTTTGCTTCATGGGATTTGACTATAAATGCACGTCATACTTTTCAGATTTGCATTTGCTGAATGCTTCACAAATAGACACTGGGAATACGTTCTGGGGTTACGGCTGCAGGTGCTAGGGACCGTACTGGATTAAATCAGTCAGCATAAGCAACAAGAGGAAGAGAGAAATAACAGCTTTAACTGTAGCAGAAATTGACCTGATGTCTCTATTTCCCAGTAATATTGGAAAACGAGATGTAAGGAAGTGTGGGTTTAATCTCAGATTAAAGTTCTTGGATGGTATTCCAAGCACATTCATTCATACTCTGCTCACTCTGAGTCACAGAACAGTTTCATTCAACACATTTTGCATTGACAGTGTAAATTACTAAGCATGCTCCTCTGAGTCGCAGCTACACTTAAAGATGGGGAGGGGTAAATCTGGATCGCTGCCAAAGCCACCCCTCCGATCCCGATTCATATCCACCTCCTCAAGCCCTTTTTTTCCTCGGGGGGGGGGGGGAGACAAAAGAAAAAAAGCTTAAAAAGGCGAA